TGTATCATACTCCGCATATGCCTTTGCCTTTCCATTAACTTGAAAAAGAGCCATAGGTGGCTATTTCAGATGATGGCTTTCGATATCTGAAGTTGCATGAGATGAAACTCACGGAGACTGCCCAAGGCCCGAAAATGGAGGGAGAAGTCCCAAGGACCAGTGGAGTGTCTCCATCACAGAACCAGCTCAGCTCTATCAATCAGGTTTTGCTGGGAATCTGATACGTGTTTACCATCACAGTGTTGCTGGGATGGCACACTTGGCTCATTCATATTTTCAAATTATAAATTTTTTGGCTTTCAAGAGAAAGCTATACCAATCATTTGTTTATTTCTGTAACTAGATGCCTAATATTTAGATTCTTGCATTTGTCTTAGTCACCAAAGGAATAGTGACCCGATTTCAGGACTGCCAAAGTCTGATGGATTTTTGTTGCAACTCATGAATTCTAGCTTCACTATTGCATATTTCCGATGGATTTGCAAAGGTCTTTGTCCTCCAGTTACCAGATTGGACCAGGCTGGATGAAATAAAGAGGACGGAGGGTGAGTCTGTACTGAAGTGTGCTTTGGAGGTATGTTTAGAAGAAGAGCTAGGTTGTGTGAGGTGCCATAAACAGAGGTGGAACAGAGAGCCTATTCCCCAAGCATCCCAACCTCAGGGTATGAAAATATGCTCCAGGAAGATGAAAAGATTAAAATGGGCTATGGACCACAGGACAGAGCCACAGTGAAGAGAGGCTGCTTCACAGAAGTATGCAGTCATGATGGACTGAAACCCTGAAACAAATCTGAAGGGCTAATAGTGTTTCTGTACCACTAACTTTTCTGATGATAAGGTCCTTCTAGATCAGTAGGTTTCAGCACAGCGCTCTGTGCGCTTGCAGGCATGCGCAGGCTGCTTCTCAGGGATCCTCAGCAGGCAACTAAGGATGCATCTATGTGAGTGTTTTCTGGTGATCAGGCACCCCCTGTTGAGATGAGTCTTCTGTTTGACCCTGTGGACTGTGCTTTGGTTCAGCCTGGCCAGAGCACAAACGTGGTTTTGGGTGGCCTGTTGCAGGAGGGGCTCTGCAAGTGCACAGCTGGCATGCTTCACCTACGGACGGGTTTAGGCCACAGGACCAGGCTGCGGCTAGCCAGAAATAACACTCTTCAAATGCACGCGGTGTGGATGTTGGGTCCTGCGTACCCACTGTTTCACCCTGCAGCTCGCCTTTACTACGCTGCACTGCTCTCTGGTACACATGCTGCCCAACGAAACTGGGATGTGGTCAGTAAGCTTGAAATTGCTAGGTAGTGGTCTCCACCTCCCAAGGAAAAAATTAGAAAAAACTGAAAGCTGCTATTCTGGATCAGTTCCAGAAGATTTTCCTTAAGCAAATGGTACATTGTTTTAACACTAGCGCTCATCTCAAAAAATTGCGTAATTCACTGCTTAAACGTATGTCTGCATTGCAGGCTGCCTGCTCTTCTCAGGTGCGTTTGTGGATGTGTGAAAGCTGAACCGGCCCCATGGTGTGGAACACGTTCTAAACTGAAACAACTGAGTATTTAACAGCTGCATATCTGGGTATCGGCTTCTTTTCAGATGTGCATTGGCTCCTCCGTTGAGTGCATTTGTATAAATGTGGATTTACGGATTTGTTTAAGCACTGCACAGATCCTTGTGTTGAATAAAGGTGACTTAAGAAGTAGAGCCTCCTTCCTGGGAGTGGCTCACAGGCACGAGTTTTAAGTGTGGTTATTAATTTTGAGGAATTAGAGCCTGGAAAAAAGTCAGTGTGGCACAGCTCTCTGATGTTCCTGGTTTTAATTGGATTTTGAAGCTCATAATTAATTTGTTAAAAAGGGGGAGATCCTGGCCCTGTAGAAGTGAGTGGGAGTTGTGCCACTGCCTTCAGCAGAGGAGGATTTCACCATCTATCCTTTTATTCTCACTAATCCTCCACAACAACAGAAGAGCTGCTTGGCACATGGAAAAGATCCTTCGCATTTCTTCTCCCTGCCATTGCCAGTAGCAAGGTAGGAAGACCCTCTCCCCCTTCTTCATTCCCATGCTTCCTACATATGTGCACCTCGGCAAGATACGCTTTCATTTCATCTTCGGGTAAGGTGAAAGCAGCTGTTAAAGAAGCAGTTTGTTCTTAGCCTTCATGTGCAGAGATACGGAGGTCTCTCTCCTCCTGCCCTCTCATGTTTTTGAGTAGCTGCAGGAGAGCAGGAAATCTAACCTCTTTGAGGTCTCTGGGTCAAGGAGCCGTCTGACATGGCTTTAAAGGTCACCATGCTCCTTTGCATTTATCTTGTGCTGTGGGGAGCACTGTATGCCAGCCTGCTGTCTGGAGCACAAAGAGGTACTGTCTGACATTTTGTGGAACAGAGCTTGAGTTACAGAGGAAAAGCATCTGAAAACAAAACTCAGCTCAGGGCTGTGTGAGGCCAGACTGGGAACACTTGAGAGAGGAGCCCCTGCAGCAAGTAACAGAGAGATGTGGCATCCCATGGGTTTACCAGTAATCATGCTTGGCATTTCTGTCTCTCGTAACCTATATATAGCACTGTACATTTTCAAAGCTCTTGACAAATGTTAACAAGCCAAACTCGGCTTTGGTCCTAATAGCCTAATAGTTTCACAGGAAGCCCAGGATGTTTTTCCTTCACCCTTCTGCTCTGTAGGCGACTCTGTCCTTCAGCCTGGCTGTACCTGCCAGATTTGGCTGAGCAGTCATCTTCTGCGTTTGTTTTGCAGTGCGTATAGCGAACACAGACTGGAAGGCAATTCACAAAGCCTTGCTGTCTCCACTGTAAGGTAGGCACTAGAGAGCGGCAGAGAACCAAAGAAGCTGAATTATCATCGAGGCTTGTTTACTGACAACTGTTGAAAATAATGCATGGACTGTTCAGACAAAACCAGTGCGCCATCACAGATGTGACCAGGACTGGGGAAATCCCTTTTCTTTGAGAAGGGGAGAGCAGATGCAGTATGCCAGGTAGGATGTCAAGGACTGGGGGAGGAGAGCGCTGTAACTGCAGCTCTAGTGTCTGGGGCCAGCACTGGTGACAGTGTTTGAATTACAGTTGAGTAACCAGCCCAGAAACAAGACACCCGCACTTGGCTCACTAACAAGAAGTTTCTTGCTTTTTTTTTTTTCCCTGAAGAAATCCTGTTAAACGAAAAAAGGCACAGAAGGCCAGTCTGCAGTGATGACCAGGCAGGCACAATCTAAGTGGGGTGGTGTTATTGTTGGCTCAGTCCATTATCCCGTTAGGCATTTTCCCGTGCTGGACTGCGGCACACAACAGAGACATCCAGGCTGGCCTTTCTGCATTCAGGAACTGAAGGACAAATGGATATTTTGGCAAAGTCTTGCTGGCTGCTGCCCCCTCTTCGTTGCTTCACCCCAATGAATCCTTTAATTGAGCTACTGAGCCAAAGAAACATCTCAGGGGCCAGTAAAATGGCTCAACTCCAGTTAACGTCTCAGCCCACTCCGCTGTTCTCTCTGGGGCAGATGACCACTGTGCAGCAAAGCTGCCTGTGCCATAGAAGTCCACAGAAACTCACTCACCAGAGAAGAGCTTTTTTTTCATGTATTTTGATGCAATGCTCTTGTCCTTTTCAATTTTCTTGCTCTTTTGGCCTCTCCAGTTTGTCACCTTGAAATACATAGGTCTCCCATAATCAGATCTCACTCCTTTACTTGCTGAATAGATGTGCTAAATATAGAAATCTGCATCTCTGCACTGAGAAATGTGTCTGCTGTGGCCAAGTGATTGTTTCACGTGATTGGCATAGAGAGGTCATGCAGACTGCAACTTCAGATTGGTCAGCGGTGGTTTTTTTAAGATCACCTTCTTAGCAATTTTAAGAACAAATAAGTAAAAATCGCTTCACTGTTTATAATTCCCAGCTTAGAAGCTTGGTAGTGAAAGTGATTTCTTGTCTGCATTTTATCTCAACTTCCTCCTCTTCTAATGCATCCATACGGTGCTGGCTGTGCGGGGAATAGTGAAATGGAGTTTATACAGGAGAAGATGCGCTGGAGCATTTGTTCTGGAGGGAGATGGTAAATTTGCATGCACACAAGTACATGTGCACTGAATAAGAAAAGAGGAGGCATGAGACCTTGGAATTCTTCATCAGAAGGTGTTCATGACTCAACAGATGTTACACCATGGCAGACTGATCTGCAGAAACTGCTTTACATTAGAAGATAGGTAGACCTGAATGCAGGAGACCAGAATCTCTCCAATCTTATCACTGCATGGTTTCACTGCCTTCGGTGGTATGGTTAATATTTTGGGGCAGAATAACAGCTGATAAAGATGTAGTACAAAAAGCCTGAAGGATCAGCTGATTTAAAGAACAAAACTTTTCTCCTCCTGCACTCACTGTCCTGATGCATAGTTTCTTGAACCAAGGAACAGTTTTTGTTGTCAGAAGCAACTAAAGAAGGTGCAGTCCTAGTGGGCAGCGGGCCTGAAAGTTTGAAGGGAACAGATGTGAGTCTGGCCATGTAAGGGGTAAATGGCAGCTGGAGTAAAGCATGCGATGCAGTGGTGGTGGTCACTCTGGAGTGGTGTACACCTTGCAGTGAGTTCAGGTGTTAGTACAGTCACTCACAGGTACCACAGTAATTCATCTGGCAAGGGTAGAGTGAGCTGAAAAGCTGGCTGAAAATCAGGCTCCAGCCAAACAGCAGGACAGGCATTTGAGGATGTTCTGAGCACTTCTTTGAAGAGTAATTGACTGGTTTTGTTAGAAATGGGAAATAAGATTGTGCAAGAATTTTAGCAGTGGTAAAATTTGGGCTGGGTCCATGCTCAGTACAGTGTATCATAAGCCCTAAGTTGTTTCCATCCCACACTGGCACTGAATTGTGTGACAGGCTAACATGCCTGAGTGGGACAGAGGCGAGGTGGGAGGACAGAGGGCTTGCAAGTTGAGTGCTCAGTAATCCTGCTGCCACGCTGACTGTTCTCTCCTCCCCTCTGCAGGTGAGAAGCCTTACAAGTGCTCGTGGGAAGGGTGCGAGTGGCGTTTTGCACGGAGCGACGAGCTCACGAGGCATTACAGAAAGCACACGGGTGCAAAGCCCTTTAAATGCAACCATTGTGACAGGTAATGCAGCCTCCTAACACGGTGTTCAAACAACATGTGGACTTTGTGAGTGGCATGGAGCCGCCAGCTCCCCAAGACAAGACATCTGGCTCCTAGCAGAGGGGCTTCTTCTGGCTTCCTGTCCCACTGCCCCGATCCCCCAGCCAAGGAGGTACCCTCCACTCTGCCCCATCCTCTCTGCCTCAGTGGCCAGGCAGGCTGGCAGAGGGGGAATACTTCCTAAGCAGCCTGAGCTGTTTCCGTCCCACAGCACAGGGAAAGATGTGGGACCAGGTGTAGGTCTGACTGAAACCTGCTGTATCTGTTGTGGGCACAAGATTCAGACCATAGGGCAGGTCTTGTTAATACTCTGAAAGCAGAGAATACATCCAGAGGGCCCTAGACCACTTCAGTGATGGATGGTCCTCTCGACAAAGCATCTCAGCAGTTTTCTGTCTCCTGGTCCTATGAGCCTGGTGCCCTCACAAAGGCAGAGCTCCCTCGTATTTGCTCTGCTTCAAGGACTACCCCAAGCATCACTGCTGGCTGCCTGCATTTTGGCAGGATGGGCCTCACAAAACTGATGGGCCTCACAAATACATGGGTGTACGACAGGGGGGATGGGGATTGTGTGTGGCTGCTGTGCCACAAGTGCCCCAAATCTATAGGAAACCTCTAGGAGAAAAGCACTTAATTTCTGTACAATGACTGTCTTCTCTTACCACTGAGTCCAGGGCTTCGTGCTTCCCCAGATGCAATAGGGGAGAGTCAATAAAAAGGGCATAATTTTCAAAAACACAAGAGTGATTGAGGCACATCTTGCAATTCAAGTTCATGGGCTTGTTTTGTGTAGGATCAGTGATCTCTG